TATAACTATAAAAATAAATATATTAAATAAAATAATGATAAACATGATAGTAAATAAAATAAAGAAAATGAATATCATAACGATAACCGTGATAGCAATGAAATTAGTGAAAATGATGATCACGCTTTTTCTAGTGATCATTGGTAACATTAGTTAGCGCAGTCATCTAGTGACGCAAACGGATTATCACTAACAGCGTGTTCGATTATCTCAAACTGCATGCTGATTATCTGAGAGTCTGATCTAATTCAAAATAGTGATTATTAATCAGTTATTTTTTCTTCTCGATAATTAAACTAACTTCTGCAATCAAGAATAGAAAATGAGCATTATAATGAAGTAGCCGAAAGGGTCTTAGAGGAATCAAGTAAAAAAGTTTCATCTAATAATTTACTTGGCGATCTTAGGGAAACAATCAAAACATATGAGAAAAGTCTGGAGGGACTAGAAAACATACTAAAGTTGCTAAAATCTAATATTAATAAACTGTTATTGTTTGATATTACCGATCCTGTTCTACTATATAATTTGACCAAAACTAGTTCAGGGAAGTGATAGCCAAAATGATAATGAAATATTTATAATTGAGAATTTTTAAGGAAAAAAAGGTCGACTTACTCAAGCCTATCATAAAGAAACAGTTAGCACCTCTATTTGATAAAATCTCTTTCACAAAAATTGATCTCCATATGAATCACTCTGAAGTGAAAGAAGTATGTAACCAACAGCTTCGATTTCTAATTATTTTTAAGGGATTCCTGATCTAAATGATATTCATATTTTCGTATCCCTTCTCCTCCCAATAATGAATAGTTAGATTTATTAAATTTGTATTCACATCATGTAATAGTTATTGCTTTTGACAACATTTTATTCATTAAATAAAACAAAGGTGCAGTGATGTAATTTTTTACAGGATAATATTTTTTCATATGGTGTGTGTATTGTGTATTATAGGATATATTTTAATTGAACTTATCTTCCAGCCTCTTGATGTTTCATATTAATGAAAGCTTTAGTCTCCATCATTACTAGTACCACCATCAGCATCACCATCTATTTGACTTCGTCATCATCTGGAAAATGCGTAATTAATATTCAGAAAATACTTACCAAAATGATCGGTAATTAAGTTTTATAGATGAGATAGAATTTTTTTTCTGGAATAATCTCCTTATAATGTCGAAGTGAGGCCTAAGAAAAAGAAGGAGTCCCAGAAGGATTAGGTAAGTATTACAAGCAATAATTCAAGTTCGCGAATATAGCATAGATCAATCTGATGTTAGATCAATAGACTGGATTTCCATGATGCGATACTTATGTGATAAATCCTATAGATGATAATTTTGATTCTTGGATGGTTAAAGGTAAAGTTAGTTATTTTATTCGTAGCTTGCTTTAATTTTATTCATAATATACTAATCAAACTTGCCTTTCTGAGGATTCTATTTCGACCATCATGGATTTGAAGAAATAGCAGGAACATAAAATGGGAAAATACTTACCTGTATAATAGTTAGAAATTGTGTATCTTTTAAACGATCCTTCGGGATGTATCTTTTATGATAATTAATATTTTCAGATAATGAGGATTTTGGAAGAAGTATGATAATCACTTCTGCAGATTACGGGATAATCATATTGATTACAGATATCTTTATCTATATCAAGTATTCACTTATTGAAGGATGCAGGAATAGTAAATTTTGATAATGAGCAGATGTGTGGTTAACATAGGGTTGAACTCAGATTGATGTCTGGATGATGTGCAGATAAATGTCTATAAAATCATCTTATTCTATCTCAAAAATTTTTTTTTCAGAGAAAAAATCATCTGACTTTAGGAATAAAATGGTTGACTAGACTAATGTACAAATCTGTATTCTTATCGATGAACGTAGAAATAGGAATGAAGAATACCACAATTATGGAAGGAATCGAGGCATTTTTTGGAATAGTATCATGACTAGAATTAATGGAGAGCGTGATACAAATTTCCAGGGACACCAATATAAAGAAAAATTTAGAAATCTTATTCGGGATTATAATGTAAGCCCCTTTTTCTTTACTAGATAAAGTGTACAATAATAATTAATCTACATGAATGAATGAATATGAGAAAAAAAAGGCAATATGTGAATATATGAATGGAAGTCGAACAGCTCAAAGGAGTCAAGCGAGTGTTAGATAGTTTGATGAGTTCCGCACTCATTTTTAGGAGAGACCTAAAGATTCATTTGATAGAATCCGTAATATAAATATATTCAACTGTAGACGAAGTAGGAGAAGCACTTCCCCTGCACCCCCATTGAGGAAAGAAAGTGAACAGTTACTAGGCCAAAGATCATCTAACCAAAGCAATCAAAGAAGTTGAACACGTTCAGAATCTCCAGCTTTTAATCCATCTCAGGCTCTATCTTTACCTCGTAACGAAGATGATAATACAAGAAATCTGACTGGAGGAAAAAATAACACAGTAACTTCACCTATCCAACTACCATCTTATGAAGCTTCTACTGGAAATCAACAATCATCGAATAGTGCAAAGGGGATATTAATAGTATTGGGTGATAGTATGAGGAAATGTCTCTAAATTATGCATAGCGTCTCGCCTTCGGTTAAATATATTTGAAAATTAATAAAGGACATATATATTTTTTTTAGCTTGTATAAATTCTGTATAAACTGCCCATCGAATAAATAAAACTGGTTTAATACAATTCATTTGCATCAATTTCAAATTTTAGTTACGTGATTTTTTTTAATGCGCATAAATTTTATTTTGATTTCATTATATATTATATGTTAACCTTATAAAAACATTATTTTGCTTTGCAGTAATTTTTTTTGCTTTCTCCCAGTATTAATTATCTTACTTTCAAAGAATATCCTACAAGTCTAAAACGAATCTGTTAAGAATTTGAGAAGTAAAAGTACGAGGATCTCTTCACACGATCATAACTATATTATCTTCTTGAACTCGATATACTGTTACAGTTTGATTAAGGGGATCAATCAAAATACCTTCCTAGATAAAATAACCATAATAATTAATAACAATAATAAAATAAAAATAAAAATAATTAGTCACTTACTTCAACATCTGCATTCATATAATCTATCATTTTTTGGTGACAATAATCCTCAGAATTATTATCTGAACGTATTTCTGCAACAAAATTTGGGGTAACTGAGGAAAACGCTTCGTTTTGATCATTAACCAATAATGCATTCCATCTGCAATAAAAAAAGTTAAAAAATATACAAACATGTAAACTAGTTATATAATTTATACATATAATGAGAAACCTTGTTGCAAGAACAACGGAAACATCTGGATCTGAACAGTAGGATTTGATAGAGGCAAGTTATAACATATCTATGATTAAACATATTTAAAAGAACATGATAGAGCGAGCATGAAGAAAAAATTCTCATAATTATTCGCAAAACATACCTGACTACTTCTGACTAGTCTAACAAGTTTACGATTATTTTAGCTCCATATGCTGACTTTAGTAATAAGATAAAATTCTTTTTGACCTATTTTATTATATCATAATTCAGCATGAAAAAGAAACATTTGTTAACATTCTAACAAAAAATAGCATACCAGTTCGAGCGCCAACGGGCATTATTATAATTTTGTTGTCAGCTAGGTCAAGTTTATAAGAGGAAGGAAGTATTGTTGTGAGTTCTTCGAAGTCTTTAATAGTAACAGGGGCACCATCAACACGCATTATTTAAAGTTTATCCCTGTCAAGTTCGTAAGAACAAGAGATTAATTTTTTGAGTTCTTCAGAAATGAGTTTTTCAGATATTTTGAATATAACGTAGAAAGTATGTATGGAAGTATTTTAAATCTGATCATTTAATTTATCAGTAACAAATCAAAAGCCCACAAGTTATATGATGTAGTGACAGGTGATGCTCAAATATCAATAAAGTTTTGCCCATAGTTTAGGCTTTATTTAAGGGTAAGTGCTGTAATATAAGTTTTTTTTATCGATGCTGGCTACTACGCATAATTCGTCTCTGGTCCAAAAATAAATTTTATAAACCATAATCCATATACGTTTCTTTATTACACTCATCATACTAACCCACAGATTTACTTTTCTTGCAAAAACTGATCAGCGTTATACTTCGCTCAAACACTTGAACATTACACAGATAAAGTGCAGTAAATTCATTACTAGATGGCAGACATCAAAGAGATCATTGACTTATATGCAGAAATACCTACTTTCCATCCTGATTATAAACCTATTATAGATAAAATGCCACCAAGTCTAGTCAAAAGAGCTTTTGATCAATTACTTAAAATAAAGTGCAATCCCGTTTTGCCAAAAGACATTACAGAAAAAAGTAATCAGATTGAGCAATATTTGCGTAATAAATTAATTGTTTATGAACAAGCAAAAAATCAAAAGGCTTTTGTCTATAGTATGGATACTGAAATGCAGATAGAGGATGTAGTTTTTCTAATAAAGCAACTCAAACAGATTCTTTGGATAAAGCAACCCAAACAGAAGATATTGATTTCTTAAGGCAAATCAAACGGGTTAATATGATATTAATTGATGCAGTAAGCATTTTATCTAATATCTAATTTCTATATCATTCTCAATTTTAGTATATTTTTTTTCTGACTTCAAACTTGGTTAGCCTACATCTTTTGAAGCCTTTTGGCTGAAAAAGGACCGGAGTCGCAAAACTATGGATCGGAAAAAACTATGTCCTCAAAGTTGGCCGGACTTATTAACATGTAGAACTTGACCATATAATTAATTTATGCTATTTTGCGATGATAAATTTAATATACAATAATAATATTTTATATTACAGGTACCAGATACAAAAATAGTAATATTTATTGAAAATAAAATTATTGAAGTGCAAGATGCAAATCTAAAATACCATCTCTTGTTGATTGCTCTAGTGTATCGATAATCACAATTAAAATACAGCTAACCTTCACCATTTCTGCTTTTTTTTCTTGACTTTTTGTTTCCTTTTTATTTTATAAAAAAAAAAAGGTTTCAATGAATACCATTTTTATACCAATACGTTCAACAAAATATCAATTACCTATTATTTTCGTGATATTCGATGTAATACGATATTGTACTACAATAAACTAAGCTCTCATATTTTTTTGCCAAATATCTAGAAAACTTGACACCAATAACTAGAGGTTTATCAAGTTTTCTCATCATATGCATCTTCTAGCCTTTCATAACCTTTCTTGGTTGTTTTCATTCGTTAATTTAACTCCAACGTTATCAATTTTTTTTTTACACAATGCTGGAGATGATGTACAAGTTAATAATAATACTTATTTCGATCCAAATTAATGTATATTTTTTGCAGCACATTAAATTGATAATAAAAATCATACCTGTGCACAAAATATGTCCAAACCAATGAATATTGTGAAGTTCAAGATGAATTTTCAGAGTTTGACTGTCCTATTGCAATTTTTGTCTGATATTTTAAAAAAGTATATTTCTTACTTGCTTTGGGACCTTTATGTACAAAAAATATATTGTTATTGTAAGATTGTAAATGTTAATATTCAACTATGGTTATATATTATAACCGGAGAAAGGTGAAAGATTTGTAAGTGTTGATAATATCTTCATCCAGACAAGCGATATTCATATATACTTTTATTTAGAAAAAATATTATTAATGAAAGAGACTTGAGAGTACCTATGCGTGATGGAAAATAGAATAATAAATTCGACTTCATTAGAAGACGAAACGTATCTAATCTTGAGATATAAAAGAACCTACAAATTAATACAGTATTAGAAGGAAGACAATATCGAAAATAACCTGCTGAAAAAGAAAGAGAATCATTTCTAACATCACTTGCAAAATTTTCTAATTTTCTTTTCTCTTAGCATATTCAAACGCTCATTTTCTGAAAAATTTAATCACCAATACGTCAGAAGGAATATCCAAAAAAAATATAAAGAAAACTATAAAATCTAACCAACTTATAAAGATAAATTACGAATAAATCCAGCAGCATTTTTGAAAATTAAATGCCGATCATGAGGGATTTATTGTATCACATTCCAACCAATCATTTATTTTTGAAAAATTTCCCACGTAAAATAATATATATCGCAAATTTTCGATTTAATAAAATCTTTTAATCTTTTCTTTCTTCAACTCGAAATTGTTATTTTGCTAGAACTTACTGACAAGCTAGAAGATGAAACACAGCGACAATGCTGACACTTATCAAAAGGTAGTCTAGGACTACGCTCTCTTCCTTTTGTTTTTTTTTTATAATTTCCTTTTTCCTTTTTCCTTTTTTTTATGTTTTTTTAAAAAAAAATAAAAAATAAAAAAAAAAAATAAACACAAATGGCCTTAGTTAAAGTGATACATCTGCTGGTCAGTGAATTCACTCCCTGAACTTAAGGACCAAAAATATAGAAAGAAGTATCCTCTCGTTTCGTACTATTGGCAAATCAAGTAGAAAATATGGGTTCGCTTGTCCTATGTCCAATTTGCGTCGAAGTGCTTCTGCTAGTTTAGCTTAGATAGTTTCTCTTTTGATACTTCTTTTATATGTATTTATATATTTTTTTATATATATTTATCCAATGATATTAGGTAAAGCTTAACGAAAGTCGAACGCTTAGGCTCTTCTAGGACTACGTCCTTGCTGACAATTTAGAAGTTGAAATACAACAATAACGCCGAATATTATCAAGAACGTTTTTAAATCAAATGTGTATTGCCTTCATTCTGATGATTATTTTTACTAACTACATTGGATGTACGCTTCGGCTCTTCTAGGACTCTTTTTTTTTTTTAATAATTTCCTTTTTCTTTTCTTAAATATATATAGAACACTAATGGCCTTAGTTAAAGTGATACATCTGCTGGTCAGCGAATTCTCTCTCTGAACTTAAGGACCAAGAAGTATCCTCTCGTTTCGTTCTATTGGCAAGCAAGTGTGTTCGCTTGTCCTATGTTCAATTTACGTCGAAGTGCCTTATATAGTTTCTTTTATATGTGTGTTATTATTTATCCGATAAAATTAATGGCCTAAGCCGCTTTTACTTTTAATTTCCTGACTTCACTATTGATTTAAAATTTTCTATTCAGAATCTTTTGTTTTGATTGAGGCTATGGTATTGGGCGGAAACAAGTAGTTAGTTTTATTTATCATGTGGCGAAGCGTGCTTTCCCCTTAATAATAAAAACAAATTTGAAAAATTTCAGATGATAATCATACCTTCAAATGACAACGATTTTGAGAAATCGATCTCGCTCAACTGGTACATTTAGAAAAATACAGATAGTATATTCGCCATAATATCTTTTAATAATCAAAAATCAACTGTCAAAGAGATGCAAAAAAACGGCGAACAAATCCAAAATCGACAGATGGTAACCTAAATTTCTATTACGCAGCTACCACAGTGAAGTCAATCTTAGATAAATTATTACATTTTTTTTAAATCGGATGTGATTCATCAAATGAGCAGTTACTAGTTAAAATAGGAAACACCTACTCTTCGACATTTTATAATTTTTTTTATGGTTACGCAAGCATCACCATTTAATAGATGTTCCAAGCGCTCAACAAAGTTATACGGGTTAAATTTTATTTTTAAAGGGCTTTGTCAAATTTAAATGTAATTGTTTCCGATTCATGGTACAATTCGTAATTAACAATAATCCAAAAGGTTTTGATTCGGCGCGTAAATAAATTCCTTTTTTCAAAAAGTATCTTCTACAAAATTTTAACCATTTACCCATATTTTCAAAAATATCTGGAAAGAAAATACGTAAAGAAAAATAGATAAAACTGAAGGAATAAATAATGGCAAGATCATACAGAAAAGGTACCAGAAATTAAAATTACCCTACTTTTATCCTATAATCGTGTAATGTAGCAAATCGACTAGATAGTATTTACTTCAACGCAAAAAATAATTTGTAATGTGCCGTTTTAATTATACATTTACAATTTTGCAAAAACTAATTCAATTTACCCGTTTTTAAAAATATTAAATTTTCCACGGGAATTATTTTTTTACGTGTAATTCTCTAAATATGAAAATGTATTAATTGAAATAAAAAAAATTACTAATATCTATTATACAGCACATCAATTTCAAAATTCATAGCATCTTCGCGTTAGAAAATTGTTCTTCGTATATTTTGATAACGAGATGTAAATGACTAAACTTTGGACATCAATGTACAAACTTCGATTCGGTCTTTATTATTTTATAAAAAGAGTGAATGGTGAATAGATAGATCTTTTTAATCATGTCAAGTTATAAATTACCATATAAGACCATTTGAATCCTTCACCTTCAATTTGAACCGGGACATTATAAGATCCATTAATAGTAATCTTTTCTTCACATCTTACAGCATCTTCCGTTTCCTTGTATAAGATAATATCTATTTGGATTATTTTTGCCATAATTAGAGAGGTGATGTCTTTAATAAAAGCAAAATATGCTACCTATCAAAGCTTCGATTAATATTAACGATGAACTTGTATGAGACAGACGATTAGTATAATGTCCATAACGACTATGTCAAATGATCTTTACGTACACTATCGAAATCGATTTCTTGAATTTCTTGACCAACCAATTGATCCATACAGGGTTTTGCGTATCAAAATCTGTTTACATGAAACGCAATAAAAAAGAAGTAAAGTTTTTTTTCTTTTAGCATACTTCTTTCCTTTTTTTTAAAAAAAAAAAAAAAAATACCGGCAATGGAAAATCACCACCTAGGCTATAATATTCAAAATTTCCTTATTTCCAGGATTAACAATGCAATGTCACAATAAAAGTGAAAAGTATTCAATTTTATTAAAGTGGATTATATTTTAACAAATTAAGGAGTTTTCCATCCTGTATATCCTAGGTCAATTATAATAGATCAAAAAAAAGTGATAATAAAAGTGTAAAATAAATTACGTTAACCATAACCCTAATGCTTTCTCGCGGAAGCATTAACGAACTTTTAGAGGTCGTCAGCCGTACCAAATGTGAATTAATTTATAAAATTATTTTCATCAGCCAATGCTTTTACTTTTTGCTTGAAAAAAAGTTAGTTAGTGAGCTATATTCGTGCTATTTAACACGATATCTCATTTCACCAACTTGTTTTACATTCGGACCAATCAAAATCACGTAAAACTCCTAAATTGATTAAGATATATATGACAAACCAAAAAATTTGGATTAAAAAAATTTGATAACATACCAAAGCTTTGATATAATTGAGCTTGTTAAACAATTCCCAAAAGAGTTCAGCCACAATCATGTCTAATTTCATATTATTAGAACAGAGTTAGGGGTTAAGTAAATCTATCTGATAAATGGTACGAGTGATCCATTCTGCGAAAATGAAAAAAAAAATCACGTTAATGCATATAAACGTTTCAATTTTAATTAATTAAAAAATAGTTACTAATCCTCCGCAATTTCTATGAAAAAGTTTGATGTCTCTAAATATTAAAACTTTAAAATAAAAAGATTGACAAAATTTGGTTAAATTACAAAATAACCTTGGAATTAAGGCTTTTTGAAACATTACTGATTAAATAATTTATCTAATTATAATCATGAATAAATAAATAATATAACGAAAATGTGAAAAATAGTGCTCCATTAAAAATTAAATTTCGGTAACTAATCTAAGATAAGTGATACGAATCTAAAAAAAAGAAAATTACCATTAAAAATTTTTCATTAATTGGCAAAATTAAATTTCTTCAATAAAACATACTTCTTGATATAATTCGGTTTGGTTCTAGCTAAAGCATTTGGATCTTCGGCTAAGCATACAAAAGTAGTAGCAGTCCACTCGATCTAATGATATTCAACATTTGAAAACAACGATGAATCCCAGGAAAACAATCAAGGGAGTAAATTCTATATTACGATTAAATGAAAGTTCAAATATAATGTGTGTACAAATAACTTAAAAATGCCTTGATAATTCCCACATATGCACCTAAACGAATTAAATGACAATTGTTAAATGAAAATAACATACGTATACACATTCTAAAATTTAAACATTTAAATAAATAATTACCAATATCAAAGACGTTACCAATTAAATAATCATTTATAATTGCTTCAATACCACGATCTTTGACTAATTTCCAAGTATTCTGAAAAGAAAAAGAAAATTAGACAAGGTTTAGAATAACAAAATAAATAATTAAGATCAGCTCACCTTTGCCTATATTTTCATTTGATTAGAAAATCGTCGTAATTAGAACTTTAAAGATTAATGAATTCTTACAGATTCCAAGAATGACTTTCCGCATAAAAATTGAAATATTGCTAAAAAATACAACGAAGATAATTAATTAATTAATAACAATAATGATAATAAAATTACTTAGGAATTCAAACTTTCGATACAACTAACGAGTACCGCAGCACAAGCGGCAAAAAAAGCCCCAAACGGATTATTGATTTCCTGCGCTACGCTTCTCAAAAGTGCACAAATGTCTTGTAAGATAGCAACAAGAAAACTTCCCAAACAAATGCTTCCAAAACTTGTAGCTGAAGCACACTTTGCACTTTTAAATTTGGTGAAGAAGGAACTCTCCAGGTATTCCTGCTATTCGAATTTTGTTCATCGGCTGTTGTATTCAGAAAAAAAAGAAAATTTATAAATTAAAATCTTTTTTTGATTAATAAAAAAAAATATTGCGACTTACTTTATGCAAATCGAAATTAAATTATTCTTCTTTTAATTAGATGGGAATATTTTCTTTGATAATTGTTCGCTTATTGACAGAGTTTGTAATTTCAAAACAGTTGAGTTTTATTGAATATTATTAAGCAATTACAACTTTTAAAAGGACGTTGAATGCTTGCGTTTAGCCAGATATAGTTAAAACTATAACTGTTGTTTCTCCTAACACCGCGTAGAGGTGGCAAGCTTTGTTCTGATTAAATAATACTTGAACTACCACATATCAAATGTGATAGCTCATTTGAGGTGAAAAAAGAATGTGCAAACGAATATAATGGGGTATAAATTTAAATAATAAAATAAATAAAAAATCACCTCAAGACATCATCGAAATACTGTCATAAAGAAAGCATATTAAAAATTTTTTTAAATAAAAAAATAAACTCTAATTTAAGAAAAATACGGATGAAGTGGCCAAAGAGGGAATACTATAATTGCAAAAAGGAAAGAAGAAACAGCCAACTTCATATAAAGATACGATACTTTGTATCGTAGTCATGCTTATCAAAAGATAAACACCCTAGTGAAAATTTATAAAAAGGGAAATTTTTTTTTGATTTTTTTTTTTTAAAATTTTTTTTTAAATTTTTTTATTTTATTTTATTTATTTTTAGATTTTTTAAATGTGCCGGCCAAGACAACAAAAAGAAAAAGAGGTAGCCAGTTTAAAAATGGAGGGGGAAGGGGTAAAAACTGTAATCAATGGCTACGTAGATACCAGGAGGATCAAGATCCATTGGTTTAGGCCACTGATTAGGGGGATAAAGGGGGTTTCAACAAAAATGCCAGGTGGATCAAGATCCATCGGCCCTGGCCACCTAAGAAGACGATAGTAAATAAAGGGTTGGCTAAAAACGGGGAGGGTAAGGGAAGGAGTAGAAGAATTAGTAGAAGAAGAAGAAAAGGAGGAAGTAGAAGGGGATGAATAAGGGGATGGACTTAATGAAGAGGGGGAAGGAGGGAAGGGGGAGAACGGTGTTAGGGAAGGTGGAAAGAGAAAGAGAAATAACAGGAAGGTTAGTAGGGGGAACAGAAGAAGTTGCGAGAATAGGGGAAGGAAATGGGGAGGGAGAAAAGTTTGGACCTGTGGAAGAAATCGAAGATGGGGAAGAAGGAGAAGTAGGGGAACTAGTGGGGATTGTGGGAGAGTGAGGATAAAAACTTAAGGAAGGAGAAGAAGAAGTTGAAGAAATAACGGAAGAAAGAGAAGAAGATGCAGCTGTAGAAGGGGAAAGAGAAGGAGATACAGCTGTTAAAGAAGAGGGAACTGAAGGGGGGATGGAAGAAAGGGAAGTTGAGAAAAGATTTCGTCGTCTTGGCGTGACAACTGCACGAGTGACACCTTGAACGCGAACCTGTCGAGTTCTTCGAGTCATCGTTTAAAGATTCCTTGAAATTTTAACATGTAAGCTATTTTTTGGTTTGCTTCTTTGTAAATAATATTTTCAAAAAACAAATTGCGAAAAACGATACTCACCAAAAAGTAAAGAAAAGTTGGAATAAAGGTAGAATGAAGTTGCGAGATCCTCTATTTATTTTCAAAAAACAAAAGTTGTCCAATGAACAATCATCGACGATCATCATTACGTCATTCGTAAATAACAAAATCAACATAAATACGTGATCTGAAATTTTTGTTCTAATATTTAGCTCTATGAAAATTATGAAAGAATAAGCGATTAATAAAAATTTAAAATTGTGTATTTATAAAATCTAATTTATAGTAATCTAACAAATTTAAGTATTATACTAAATTTTATATAAATAATGCAAACATATGTCCATATTCCAATATTTTATATAAAAAGCAAGGGTTCCATAATTTAATTCACATTTGCATATTTTATAACAATAATGCAAAAACCTTGTTTTACTCAGTTCGTCGAAAATTCATGTCTTGTTTAAAGATTAAATTCGCTATAAATGTTCGTTGTGACCGCAATTAAAACTGAGAACAAAATGACACACAAAACAATGCATAATTTGAGATTTAACTCACGATGCGCACAAATGCCTATATTGGGAAGTAAGAAAAGTTTTATATTGCGAAAAAAATTTAGGGTATAATCTGAGTGAGAGAAGATAAACTTAATAGCATAGCAATTGTTATAATATATACCCAGTTTTTTATAAGCTTTGCATTCAACTTCTTTGTTTAATATTAAAAGAAATTATATCAAACAAGAAAATCGACCATTATAATAAAATCATTAAAATGTCTATACTCAGTTAAGCAGTCCTAAGCGTTTTAAAAGTTCCGAGAAATTTCAAAGAATGATTTTTACAAATTTATTATTAAACTTGTTTTAATGAGCTACTTAATGAAAAATAAATAATAAACCCCAAAATTTTTTAAAATTTAAAATTTAGGATTTAGGACTGGGTACCTAGGACTGGTCCTATGCTTAGCGGTCCTATCAAAATTGCCAATTTTGAATATGACATCTTTTTGATGGGGTTACATATTATAGATCAGCGATTAGACTTCTCTAGAGAAACTCTTAAATCGTAAGGGTCGGTTAAGGATTGCTCAACATTCTCAGTTCAATTATACACTTAAAAATTCCATACATGACTATTATTTTAATTCAAGTTTACCTGGATTATCAAACACGCAAATTATTGATAATAGATAAAACGGAGTATGTGGTAAACAAATCTTTGTACTAATGATAAATTAAGATTTCAAAAACGTTAATATTATTGAGAATATTTCAGTTCTAGCCTTACAACATACTTTACATGCAAATTCACATACTTGCTAGATACAACTATTATGATATCCTTTGATTTTGGACTGTTCTAATTTAGAAAGAATTTTAGTAGTTATGGATTACTATTACATAAACATGTTTTTAACACTTGAATAATTTTTTTTTTTAATCCTCAACGATTTACTTTGCTTGCGAAAAAGCTGATTAATACTATTCTACATTAAGATTATTTTATTAATTTCAACTTTTTAGTTAAATTGCAAGGATAAGTATCAAAAACTTCTATTGTTAGTAAATTGTTTCATTTTATTTTTTTATTATACAATAATTATAGAACATTTAAATTTTCTCCTCTTTCCACCCCCAAAAAAAGAACTAGTAATAGATCTTTTCTAAAAATATATATATATATATAATAATGATAAACAGTTAAAGAAAAAGAAAATTTCTGATATAATGTGAAACTGACCCAAAGACTTGAAGCTAACTTCAAATGGAGAGTAAGAGATAATTTCTCCTTAACATATTTATTGTGATTTATTAATTAATAAAAAAAAATAAAATAAAATAAATCATACGCTTTTTTATATTCGTTTGAAGAAATTTTGAAATTTAATTTGATAAACATGTCTGGCGGCATTGATTACAAAGCCAAATTAAAGTTCCGATTGCAATTTATCTGCAACCTTTGCATACATAAATAAATATTTATATACAGTAATTAGTGATGATCGATTTGAAGTTTTTATTGTAGTCTACTTAAATGCATATTGAATTTGTAATGTTTATGAATTGAACTAAAAAAATTATGTATTAAAAATTGATTTCGTTATAGTAAGTAATATAAAAAAAATTATTTTTACCTTTTAACTTCAATAATAATAATATATAAAATTTATATTTAAATCATTAAAATATGAAAAAAGGAAGTAATTATAAGAATATCACAATTAAAATGAATGAATTAATTATCAAATAAAAAAGAATTTATCAATGGGTTATGAATAATGTTTTAATCGTTAGACTTAAGCAATTGAGTAGGATTCTGAAATTGAACATGATTCAGTGAGGTGATAACCTTATTCTGCAATTGGGTATGATTCTGGATGTTTTAGGATTTTTTAACCTCGTAAAAAAGGTCGTATAATTGGAATGGAGAACGCCTTTGGGTAGGATTCATAATTTGGGTATTTTACTGGAGCGGCATTGAAGGAAAGCGAGGAAATAAAAGATGCAAATGAGATTTTCATAGTTTCTTTGTAATAAATCTAAAGTTTGAAAAAGATTTTTTTTGATTCTTTGAAATTGGCTATAATTGTTAACTTAAAGATTTCGAATTTCCTTTTAAATTATAATATGAAAAGTTAAATTATATATTCATGCCAATATTTTATTATTTGTTTCATTAAAAATAAACAAAAAAGAAGAATGACATTCATAATCATTTTTCTTGAATTGCTGTAATTTATGATTATTTCTAATGATCGGCGCTAAAAAAAAAAAAAATTTTATGCACACGTTATGTACAGTAAATGTTCAGAGTAATGGAAGTTTAAAATACAATACATCAATTTCATACATAGTATTTATTAAATTAGTTCATTGACCACCCTAACGTGTCATGAATATTCATCAATGTTTTTGATTTCAACAACTTTCTATTTTCCACATTTTTTTGTATAGATTCCTGAAAATTTCTTAAGATTTTTTAAACGTCCATTATGTGATCCAGAAATTCTTCAATTCCAGCATAAATTCTACAAAACAATTTTATATTTTTTAAAACATTTAGGTTTGAAGAAAGTGGAAAGTGTCTAACACCAGGATCGATCATCAGTATGCATATTTCATAGGATTAAAATCAGACTCGCAAGTTTATTTACTTGTTTATTTTTTTAAACAATGGGATTTGAATATTGAGCGCGAAAATAATTCTGTTGAAAAAAGATATACAGTATATACATATACAGTGGTGTGCAAAAAAAATGAACTTTTTTAAAATCACGATAGGTTCACAAGTATTGCGTCAATTAAAATGT